CATCCTACATATAGAAACCCCCAAAGATTAAAAATTGCACTAATTAAAAATTTGGCAATGTAGTAGGTGCTAAGATCAACATCCAAAAATAACTTGGATACTTGAATATTTAAAGAGGACTCTGAAAAGGAAACTAAAGAACAATACCATTTACAATAACTACCCAAAAGATAAAATACTTAGGAATAAATCTAAGCAGATAAATAAAAGACTTATACAAAGAAAACTACAAAAAATCTTTTACAAGAAACCAAAAGACACTTATACACATGGAAGCATGTCCCATGTTCATGGATAGGAAAACTTAATATAGTGGAAAATGTCAGTATCACTGAAAGCACTCAATCAATGCATTGTCAATCCCAGCCCCAGCATAATTCTTCAAATAAATGAAAAAACTAATCACCAACTTTATATGGAAAGGAAGTAAACCTAGGATAAGCAAAACCATATTTTAAAAAGTGAAGTGGAAGGCCCTTCACTCCCTGATTTCAAAACCTATTATAGAGCCACAGTAATCAAAACAGCTTGGTATTGGTACAATGACAGATATGTAGACCAATAGATTAGAACAGAGAATGCAGAAATAAAAACCAAGGAACAACAGACACCTGATTTTTAATAAAGGCCTAAAATACATTAAGTGGGGGAAGAGGTTACTTTTTCAACAAATGATGTTGGGGAGATTGGATCTCCACTGGCAAAAAAATATGAAACAAGAATCATCCCTCATACCAGGTACAACTATGAACTCAAGATGGATTAAAGGTCTAAACATAAACCTTCGAGTCATAAGGATCATAAATTAAAAAACAGAGACACACTTAAGTGCTCTAATACAAGGCATAAATATACTACCAAACCTAATGAAAATCCCCACGAGACAGAAGACAAAAATAGAAGACTAGAACCTTCTAAGAATACAACACCTATGTACTTCAAAAGAGTGAAAACAGAATCCACAGATTGGGAAAAAATGGTTTGCTATGATGTATCAGATAAAAGGCTACTTTCAAAAATCTATAGAAAACTACAACACCGTAATAAGAAATATACAAATAACTCAGTCAAAAAAATTGGCACAAGACATGAATAGACAATTTACTGAAGATGACATCCAGGCAGCTAACAATCATATGAAGAAGTGCTCACATTCATTAGCTATAAGAGAAATACAAATTTAAACAACAGTGAGATACCAACTCACACTGATGCTCTTAGCAAAATTCAAAAGGAGAATCATAAATGCTGAAGAAGAGGTGGAGAGATGGGAACACTCATAAATGTCTGGTAGGCTTGCAGAATTATACAACCACTGTGGGAACTGGGGGCCTGACGGCACAGTTGTTATGAGTTGGGCTCCTAACTGCAGTCAGTAGTACTTTGAAACTACCAGCTGCTTTGAGGGAAAAAGATGGGGCTTTCTCGTCCCATAAAGAGCTACAGTCTCAGGAACTCACAGCGGCCATCGTTCCACCCTGTCCTATAAGATCACTGTGAGTGGGCACGTTTGTTTTTGTTTTATGGGAAACAGTATGGCACTTCCTTAAACAAATGCCAATACCTTATGATCCTGAAATCGCTCTACTTATTTTATACCCTAAAAAAATAAAACAACAAACACTAACAGATATACACAAACTCATGTTCATCACAGCAATTTCCATAATAGTAAAAATAAAAAGTGGAAACAATGCCCAAAATGGGAAATTATGCATTCTTAATAAACAATAATGAGTGTGTCAAATACCTCAAGACAAAGACAAAACTGGAGAACATTATGCTCAGGAAAGTTAGTCAGTCTCGTAAAGAGGAATATTTCATGACAACATTATTCTAAAGAAAAAAAAGTCGTTTTCACACCAAAGGAAAAGATGGTGAAGACAATGAAGAGGCCAGGAGGAGGCTGGAG